AAAAAAAAAAAAAAAACGACCACAGTTCTCCTTGTTCCAATTGAGAGGAAGCTTCTGAGCTGACAACTAGATAACTTGTTCATGAGAAATTACAGAATCTTAGACACACTGAAATTAACCTAAGTTTTGTAAACCCTGCAGAATGTTGTGTTTCTAGGAAAATCATATTCAAAGGGGCAAAGTAAAAGGTGTTCTCACAAGAGTAGAAGATCTTACCCACTAACTTAGGAGCAGAGAATGCAATGAGAATGTACCTCTTTAAGAACACCACACACTGCAAAGATTTTATCACATAATCTAGGAAAAGCCAATGACGAGGCCAATGACTTGAGAATTCTCCTCACCAATGGAAACCAGGTTGCGATAGTTCTCCAACATCACATCCTGATATAGGGTCTTCTGAGCAGGGTTCAGGAGCTGCCATTCCTCCCGGGTGAACTTTACAGCCACATCATTGAATGTCAGTGATTCCTATAGTAAGACAAGTCTCTTTAATGACGTATTTTCCATTTGAAGATTAAAAAAAAATCTTAACAGTAAAGAAAACACAACAATAAAAACTATTCTGTGCTAGTGCATTCCATAGTGTGTAGTAAAATGAGGACTTGGTAGAAGCGTTTGACTTTTTTTCTACACTTGCAACCATGGGCATGGAAAACGAACCCTATTTTCAGAAAGATCTCCATTGTTCTGATAAAGAAATGTTTTCAAATATATGTTCTCCAGGCCAAATAATGTGCACCTGAAAATACACCTCCATGAAGGGCAGTCTTAAAGGTGTTATCATACTGTGTTTCCCCCAAAATAAGACATATCCATTAAATAAGCCGTAGCAGGATTTCTAAGCATTTGTGCAATATAAGCCATACCTCGAAAATCAGACATAGTGATAGGCGTGGCTATGGAGCATACCGCCACAGAGAGGTAACGAAGACGGGCAGCCCTTCTCATCTGCCCCATCGTGACAGCTGCTATCTCAGAGGTAACCAGAGAGGTGCGGGCAGCCCCATCAACATGGCTGCCCCCTCCTGTCAGGTCTCAGCCATTCTGTGCGTGCTGCAAGCTGAAGCATAGAGGGAGACTAGACAGTGACCGTAACAGTCTCCTCAGTGAAGTGAGGAGCAGGACGCTCTGCTTTAGGTATTGTGTGTCCTCATGGGGACGGAGTAAAGATAAAACATCTTCTGAAAATCCACCACAGTGCGTCTTCTTGAGGAAAGAGAAATCTAAGATAGTGTCTTATTTTGGGGGAAACAAAGTAGTAAAAGCATCATTTCTCTGCCTGGCTATTTCACTATACTTGAAGGTTATCTTTAGATTAGAGCAATCAGGTTCTGTAGCCAGTCCACCATAAAATGTAGCAAATGCCTGGGAAGGGCTCAGGGCGGGTTTGAGGTCAAGCAGCACTAGGTCAAGATGGTAACCCACCTTCTTGCTTGTTTGCTATGTTACCCACTTACGATATTACCAGTTGACTGTGGATATGCTAACTGCATGAGGTGCCTGCCTTGTGAAAGATCTGTAAGCTCCATTATATATATCCATTGGAAAAGGCATTCACTCTCTCAGTCCTAGCATGGGAAGAGAGGACCTGTGTCTGGCTGCCTGCTCTCTGTCTTTTAATATTTGCCACAACTGCAATGCTATTCCAAACATTTGAGTGTTAGGGACCCCCGTGCCACCAAAATAATCTGCCCACTCATAAAATTAGAATTTTGAGTACCAGTGAAATTATCTGAATGAGCTAGAAATAACTGATTCATACTCACACAAAGTAGATCAACACCTGTTTATATTAACAAACAAGTTTACAGTACAATGTGAAATGGAATGAGGAGTTCTAGCAGTATCACCAGTATACAAGGCTCTGTACCCTCAGTGGCAATAGCTATCAGGAACAGTTCAGATGGGGGAGGTCAAACATACCTCAGCTCTCCAACATTTTTTGTCAATTCTTACACAAGTTGTTCCTCCCACACCACTCTTTTTGTCTCACTTCTCGATTTGATAATCCATTGCTATGGCCACACAAAACTCATAGATCAAAGTGGTCTATTAATGAACATGGATCAGGAATAAGAAGCTATAACTCAGATCCCCAAACAGAAAGTTCATAGGGTTTATCTCCCTTCCTGAGTGCAGGAAGCTCTTAGAAGCCACCTTAG